CATCATGTGTAAAAGAAACGAGTGAGTTCAAGACAACGAATGGGAAGTATCAATGAACAACAAGACTAATAACAAGAATACATAAGTAAAGAAAGAAGACAACAGATCTAAGTGAACTACTATCTAACAATATAAATTGAAAACTTGCATAGTCATGTCATTTATTCGATACAGAACATTGACAATAGATCAAAAATAAGTGTGTGCATTCAAAATGAATTTCATTAGTACATACTTAGTTATATGATCACAGTTATAAAAAATAAAAATCTTGTTAAATATGAATTATTTCAATTTTTTGGTTTTCTAGTAATAAATAATAAACTGTTTGTTTTCCTATTTTTAAATTCATCATTTTTTTGTGTAAAATGAATGACAAATAGGGAAATATTTTCATAATTAACATATTAAGAAGAAAATGTTATATATATATAATTACATATATATATATAAATGACTTTTATGTTAAGAGCTTTCTAAGATTGTTGTTGTCCTTCACCAATATGTGTCATATATTAGCTGATGTAAATTGTTTTTTGATGACGGAATATACTTGTTGAATTTATGAATACTATTAGTGCATTCAATCGATTATATAGTTGATAAATCGGCACATTTAATGAGGAAAAAAAAACGTTTCAAACTCGTAAACAGTTATCAAAAAGAAAGAGAATAATTATGAATCTCTCATTATGAATTCATCTATCTTCATCAGAGTCCAATGCTATTAAATGAAACTTGATTGAAAAGACAGAGTAATTATAACACACATGTGAAATTTAATGTATTCTATTTCAACGTAATAAGTAGATGTTTGTACTAACAAAAAACAAAAACTTCAACATTTTGAGAGAAAAACTTTCAAGGATACATAATAAATGAGAATATTAACTGTCTCTTTTTTGTTAATAATATATTAAAATGAATAGTAATTTAATAATATTGTTCAATAAAATAGTATTGTTTTATAATAACGATTGAAAACAATAACTAGAGTAAATTTGTCAAATTGCAATAGACTAAATTTGATTGTTTACTAAGTTGACAAGTTCGATACAACTTGAATGACTTCTTTATAAGAAAAGTATTATTCATCATTCGATGGTAAATCATAATATAATTATATTAACTACTAATTTATTTTTCTTTTTTTGAATTTCTTGAATGTATTGAAAATCATTTTGCCGATTCAATGAATAATGAATGATAATTTTGTTAGTATAGAATAACCATGAATAGCTCGTTTGATAATATTATGAATTGTAATCTATTATCAATAATAGAAATAAAACTAAGATGAATTCATATGTTTTCTTTTTCAATAAAAAATCAGTTAGCTTGTTTTCTTTTTTTACTCTCTCTCTCTTCTCGATTGTTACAATGCCATTTCACAAGAATTTTGTACATTAAATCAATTTTACTTTTGTCAATATTATCTTTTCTATTCATTATCAATGATTTTTTAAAATTTTTTATAAGTATCGATGATTCATCTATTTATTATGTAAATATTATGGATAAAAGTAATTGAGTTTGGGTACAGTTTGAAAGACTTTTTATGATGTATATTTTTATATGCGCATATAGATATGGAAAAGGCGTTCGAACGTACCAACATGGTTTATTTTACTTATATATAGATGCATTCAGATACAATTACAGAAATTGTGTTTAAAATTCAATAGCTATATTGCATTGCGGGAATATTTAGAAAATAAAAGTTCATTGAAGCATATTTCAATTAATAAGACTTTATAATAAAACTTTTAATTTCTGTTCTATATAAAATACAGACAAAATGAATACCGATTTAATCAGTCTTTAATCCTATTAGGTTATTATTCAGAAAAATTAAAATTTCATCTACTAGTTTTTAATCATATTTAAAATGAGAAAAAAACAATAGCTATCTTTACAAATAACTATGTTCTTAGTTCGTGTATCTTATTGTTCAAATTATTCAAGCTCTATATTTGATTAAGAATTATATCTAGAATAATCTTCTTCTTCAGGCTAAGTTAAATTTATCCTATCTATAATTTAATAATCATATACCTTTTGAATAGAATCTAAAGTCTTTCTGTAGTACTAAATAATACATAACATAAACTTTTCATTTATAACTTATGTTAGTTTCTTTATTTTTTAAATTCCTATTGAATTATTCATGTAGTTTGTTAATAAAAATTCAATGTCATTCATAGTGTAACAGTATTTGCATGTAAAGATTTATCATTTTTGTGAAAAGGAATTGAAGGATTCGAATGACGGGATGTAGTATAATTAGCTATTTGTTTATTCGTTTGATCATCATGAATTTTAATTTCTGGACTAATGTTATGTACAGATCTATTTGTTTGATAATATGAATATTTTGTTAAAGGTACTGTTGATGGTGTTACATTGATATTTTCATCATCTGATTTTTGAAGACTATTATAACGATCATTAATATGACATAAAAAATAAATTGTCCATAAACCAAGTAATAAACAAAGACACCCACAAATTATTTCTGAAATAAGTACAGGCATAAATGATAATGCTGTTCTACGTATAATTTTTACACAACCACGTTGTTCATCTTGATCAGCATAAATCATTCGATATTTTTCTTCTCGATTACATTCGGCTGCTTGAGAATATACTTTGGTCCATGTTAAATCTTGTGTTGTACAACAATCATTACTATTTTCAATTTGAAGCAGTTCATCACGTGCTGATGTTTCTTTATTTTATTAAAATTTATTTTTATTTATTAAATGCGTTCTTCTTTTCTTTTTCTCTCTACTTACTATTATGAATAATAAAATCAACAAGTAATCGTTCTATATCAATAGGAAAGTTCTCAACTATATTTTGAACAAATCCAAGCATAATAACACTGAGAACAATAAGACCAATACCTAAAATAATATTTGAAACAGTAGATGTGATCAACATTTCCGTTCGACCATCGGTAAGAACAGTAATAAAACCAAGTATTGATGACATACATACAATAATACTCATTATAATAGCTATTGTCGGAAATGATTTATTAATTTTATTGGTAACATAGTCACGTTTTCGTTCACGATTTAATAAACTTGCATCACGCTGTAACCGATAAAGACTTAAAATAAATGTTATTGAAGCAGTAATAATTACTAAACAGCTAAGAGAATATAAAATGTAATTTCTAGATTTATGTTTTAAAAATAGCATCATGTTGAGTAGATAGATGACTAGAAGAAAACGCGCTGAATATATATATCAAAGAAACATTTGAATTTAAGTAAAATTATGAAGTAAAAGAAAATTATTTATGTCTTCTTGACTTCTAAAAATATTTAAAGTTTCATTTTATTGTAATAAAAATTAGTGCATTTGAAAAAATTAAATTGATTGGTTAATTAATATTTTTATCTGTACAATAAGCTATAACATAAGATTCGTTATCAATAGACGAACTATTTTAACTTGATTTACTAGAACTATGTATGTTTCAAGCAGATGAATTTCATTATTAGTTTCTATTAAAGCCTTGAACTTTCTTTTTTCTTTTGACATCGATGTAGAAAAACTTGACTTTCTTCTATTGTGCTGTTATAATGAAAAAGAAAGCTATTTAATAATTATGCACTAGAAAAAAAGATTATATATTTCCTCTTTTTTTCTTGAACTGCATAATAAATAGTTTCAGCAAAAAATATTTTACTTTTATTATTCTTATATTAAATCATGAATAACTTTTAGTCGTTCTGTTTTTCTTTTGACCAGAATTAATCCAACTGTGTCTTTCCTGTGTTTTTTTATTATTAAAGTCTAATATCATCATCATCAACATTCGTGCACACATAATATAAGCAACACTTGATTAAACAATGGAATAAGCATTTGCTTTTTTGTGGCTTGGGAATATTTTTTTTCCTTCTTCTTTTTTTTTCTATCCCTGTCGCCTTTCTCTAGTCTTCCTATTGATTGAAGTTGTGGTTACTACTTTAAGAAGAGATCAGTTTTTTTCATGAACGATAAAACTATAGCATAGAAAAAAAGGACGCTAAAAACACTGACAGACCGGCAAAGAACGAGCAAAAGAAAAATGCAAAGGAAAAAAACGAATAGCAAAATGTCAGAACTATCATCATACTTGTTCCATACATTTTCTTTTCTTGAATGATGATCGTGTTTCTCGGATTTTCCTTCGTACTCGTCCGCTAGTAATGAACTCTGCTTATATGTTTATTCTAGTTCTTTTTTCTACTCTTTTTTTCTGTCCTTTTTTTTTGCTTTCTATCCAAGTTTGACAAGAAAATGAGAACGAACATTCTTCTAGCCTTAATGATTGTAGATTGTGTTTTCTTTTTTTTTTACTAGGTCTAATTTATAGTACTGTATCCTGTTATTAAGAAAAGCTAGCAAATAATGGATAGCAATGGAGAAGGTATTTAAAAAAAAACAGATATTTCTAATTTAGAATGACCTTTTTTTATGTATTTCGTCTTCTTGTATTTAGCTCATGCCGCAATGACACCAATTAATGAAAATGTCTGTATCAGTGCTTGTACAAGTAAAGATGATTTTGATAAATTAAAACAAGGTTTAACATTACTTGAACAAGCTAAAGTTTATGATCACAATCGTGATTATTATGCTGCTATACGTCATTATCGTGATGGAGTAGATTATTTAATGGATGAATTTATGTCTCGTACATGTGCTAATGAGCAATCAAAAGAATATCTTCGACTTAAATGTCACAAAATTTTAAACCGTGTTGATATTTTAAAAAAATTAATTAAACAACAAGAGCATGAAACAATACAAGAAGCTATAAATAATGATGAACAACAAAAAGATAGCGAATCCTAATCTCTATGTACTTGTCGATGTTTTCGTAACAATTAACATTAAAACAAAATGAACACTTTTGTCTTGTGTTTCTCTGCCTTTTCTTTTTCTCGTTTGCTTAATGTTTAAATTGTAGATGAAATAGACTAAACTAAATTTTAATCGAAATGGATACAACTAATATATATCATTCATCGGATAAAATTCCAATAGCAATACCATATCAATCAACAACATCTATAGCACATTTATCAACAACAGAAGAAAATGAATTTCTTGCTCGAAATCAGTTTCGTTTAGCATTAGTATTTAGTGGTCTATGGCTTTCATATTGTTGGTGGCTTTCGGAACGATATCGTTTTGATTTTGGTCGATATACAACTATCATCCGTCTTCTATTTTGTATTGTACATGTTTTAACTGTATGGAAATTTTTTCAATATATTATTAAAGTTGCTTTTCGTTTACATCGTTTAACTAGACGAATACGAGCAGCTTTACCACGACATTTAACAATGATTATATTATCACTCGTCTTATTTGCATTATTAACATTTGTTCTTAATTTTAAACAATTTTTAAGAGATGCTTTTGCGATAGTAGATTAACAGGTTTCTCTTTTTTTTTCTAAATCTGCTTATTTATTTATTTATTTATTTATATTTGTGTATTCAAATATTTAAATATGTAATTTTGTCATGTTATTGCTGTTATTATTAGTGACTGTTTGACAACGATATTTTAGATAATTCTTCATTACAGAAACATATGCAATTTGATATACACTAGAAAAAATAAACAGAAAGGATGGATAATAGTTTCTGAGGAAACCAATTCTATTGGATTTTAATAATCCGTTTGGAATAAAAACGAACAAAAGTTATCATTAAAACAATACCTTGTATTTAGATTCTTTTAATTTTTTAATCATTTTAGTAAACGCTTACAAGCTTAGGATTCGGCCATATTTTCAGTTCTTTAAGCATACTCAGGGAGATTCTGTCTGCCCATATTCATTAACGCATGTACTAGTTACTGAATGCAAGGCAAATGACCTATATGCCAGTATATACTCCAAAAACAATATTTCCAAAATTTCTGTAAGAATCGTTTATCAGAAATGTAAAAATAAACAACGTCTGGTTGATATACTCTTTAAAATATCATCAATGTTAAGTATAAATCGTCTTTTGTGCTAAATTAAGGTTCATTCACTCGAAATTTTGTTTTATTCGATAGAGTACTTTTTTATGAACTACTAGCTCATGCATAATTTTTTTGTCAATAAAGATGTGAACCAGAGCTGAACACAGGACATCTTTTTTTTGTCTTGCACTGCTGTCTTACTCTGCCGTAGCAGATGGCAGGACAGCAATGCAGAACTGTCCTGTGCTATGCCCAGCTGTGATCAATGATGTGCTCAGGAATTTTTTCATGGGGGAGGGGGAGGAGGAGGGCGGACGATCCCTCGAAATGTCAGAGTACTATGGTGAAGAAAAGGTTTTCGCTTCGTGAAGTTTCCTCTGTACCCCCGCTCCCCCCCCCCCCAACTATTTTTCTCGCTCAGGGGAGAGTGATTCCCTCAATGCTTCCTCTGGGTACGTCACTGGCTGTGATGCTAACATGTTCCATATGTAGATCGGTTTTTTTGCGTAGAGAAAAGAGCATTTTGTTCGCTGGGTCAAAACCAATGTCGCAATCGTTGTTCACATAATAAATGACATTAATCTATGTATGTTTTCACCATTTCTGACAAATTTTGTTCTTCAGCTAGTTTCTTAAGAAAACTCTGAGAGAAGCCAGGCTAAAATTCTGACCGAAAACCAAATTCGTCGCAAAATTTCGAAACGTATATAGATTAGCACCATTTTTATGTTGATTCTGTTTCTCACACTTGTCTTGACTAAAAACTGAATTTTAACGACCGTCATTGTTGAATACTAGTAAAAAAGATGCTCGTTTCCCTATGCAAAAGAAACCCATCTTCATTCGGATCATGTTCGTATCTTTATTTACAAAGCAATGATATATTAGCTAGTAGTTCGTAAAAAAAACTCTATCGAATAATACACAATTTAAAGTCAGTAAACTTAATTTCAGCACAGCAGACAATTTATACTTAGCACTAATCGTATTTTAAAAAAGTTATTTTAATAAGACGTTGTTTGTTTTTAGATTTATGATAAACGGTTGTTATATAAATCTCAGAAATATTTTTTTTTACTGGAGTATCTGCTGATATATAATTCATTTGACTTGCATTCAGTAGCTAGTGCATACATAAATAAACATGGGTGAACAAGGATCTCCCTGAGTATGCTTGAAAAAAAAAGAAAATATGACCGAGTCCTAAACTCGTAAACACTTAGCTACTAAAATCATTGAAAAATAATAAAAATTTTACTATTAAGGATTGTTTCTATGATCATTTTTGTTCATTTTATCCAAAGAGATTATCTAAATTCAATAGGATTGATTTCCTTCGAAATCTTCACCATCCTTTCTATAATTTTGTTATCAAACTTTTATACATGAAATAAAATATATGTTGTATGAAAAAAGATCTCTTTTTGATGAAGTGTTATCTGTGATCTCTTGATATGTAAATGCATTAGACAATACGTACCTATTTAAAACAATTAGTCGACAAAGTTGAACAAAAGCACGCATAGATTACAGACACTACTGTTTTGTTTATCGATATTGAATCGAAATGCGGTAAACGTAACCAACTCCATAAGAAAGTAATCTTAATAAAAAATAGAATCTTGAAAACATTCTATGTGCATTGGATTTTATGTGACTGGTTAAAGTTATTCTTTTAACATAGCACAACTCGCATTATAGATTTTAAAGCATACAGATACCGATAGAAGAGTATGAAGATGCGGAATATAGATAGTTGTATAAAGATAATAATATAGATATAGAAGTTTCCATTCTGCAATATTCGCCTGAAGACATTGTTAGAAGAGCATTAGGAGAATGCGCAACATAATTGTCTTATCATTTGTTGTCGAAATCGTTGAATTTATCGATCATATTCGACGAAGTCTTGTTGAATTTAGATAAAGTCTAATCAATTTATTTCTAAGTTAAGGAATTTCATAACATTCGGTTAGTACATAAAAAGTGAATAGAGAATCTCATATACAATTTTACTAAGCTAAACTTTTTCGTAAAAAACAATTACTGTCGTGAATAATATGATGAGTGTCGTTACTATTGAGATTTTAAAAAGATCACAAGCTTTTATTTATTTTTTATAATCTCGAAAGAGATGTCATAACTCCTATAATAATCTGTTGGAATAAATAGCTACCACGTTGTCTTATTTTGGTTTCAATTTACTTAGAGCTCAATTTTTTATAACAAAATTGAACCACCGAAATATATAGATGCCTATCATTGACCATAAGCTCTAGTTCTTTGGATCAATCTCTAAATAATATCCACATATGTGAATAGTTTGATAATTAAGGTCAGTTCTAGTAATTATATAGAGATTTTCGACAATTAAACATTTTAGAGTATTTTATTAGCTCAGGTAAGGTAATAACAACATAGATGTTATTTTTAATACTTTAATATCGAAATAGTACTATACCAAAGGTATTTTTACATGGACTATCCAGTGGCGGTGCGACCGGAGGGTCGTGGAAGGGAAACTTTTTTACTTCTCAAAGTTCGACTGCAGGTGTCTTTGATTTTGAGTAAATTCGCGCTGGATCTTTCATTAATTTGTATAAATTTAGGTTATAACTTTCTCTCACTTTTGAGTTAACTATCAAAGTTATATTTTATCGAAATCGCGAGTATGTAGACTAATTTCTTTTGTTTCAAAATACTTGGACTAAATTGTTCTCTGATTTCGTGAAGACTTTATGTAATGGAACTATTTCATTTATGAGATTATCATTAAAATTATCGAAAAACTTTATTACTTGCTAGGACGAGTCGAAATTCTTTTTAAAGTATCTAGAGTTTTTCAGGTAACACAGTTCAAAATCATTCATTCAAAATTCTCAAGTAGCCGTGAAAGTTTTATTAACGTTTCAATAAAAAACGAACTTGAAAAGGCTTTTAAAATACTACTTCAAAGGCGAAGCTAAACTCATGGCTTATTAAAACCCATAATAGTTCACGATGAAAGGACTGAACTGGCATCACCCTCATCCAGTTTTCTTTTCCAACTGGAATAACTACTGAATAGAATTGCTACATTACCATTATAAGTACACCAAGTCCATATGAAAAGAAAAATAGAAACCACACATTATACAAAAGACGTCGAAACTCGCAAAATCATTTTCCCGCGAAGTCGACAGCAGAAATTTCACTATTTCTATCACCGTAAAATACTTTTTCCCAAACTGATCCGATTCTATATATAAATACATATAACTCAATTTTTGCCTTCTTTTTACTACGTTGTGTCCAAATCGAGATATTCTACATTTCTAATTTCAAAAACAGTAGGAGGCTTTTTACTTTGTCATCTCTAAACTACTAGCAATTGGTAATATTTTCTTTCAACATACTATGGTTTAAAATGTAGAGTTTCTAATGTATTTGTGGTCTTCGAATTATTTGAATAGTTACAAAGTGAAAACTTCCTGATGAGACCCTTAAGCAACGTTGAAAAGCATCGTACGTTGTTTGAGACACCTGCAACTGATGATCTTCGTCGCTGATGTGAAATATTAACATTATGGTTGCACGATACAGCCACACCCATCTGATGAAATCCTTAAGAAAGGCCGAAACACGTGCCATGGCAACTAGTCACACTCATGCTCTTCTAAACATGCCTAATGAATTCTTTAAGCACGCACTAAACATCGTGGGATGCTTTGAATCTCTCCAACTTTCTTCTGTAAATAATCACATGCACACCTTATAAATGAATCAAGTCACAGCGTTGGCTACCTAATGATTCAACTACCTGTCAGTCAGCTCGATTACCTTCATAATCTATCTGTATCCATGTACATATATATATGGCGACGTTTGGTACTGCCAAGTGTCGATCTATGGTTTTTAATTTTTTCATTGGTCGCAATAAAAAAATCAACGGTTGTTATGATATGCTTTTTGGTCACTAATCTGCTCTTCATTCAAGTTTATCTGATGTTCCTCACAATAGTAGTCACTGATACACTTAATAATAGAACAAAAAAGGTAAAATATACTTAAAGCTCTCTTTCAATTAGTGAGCTTTAATTCTGGCAGAATTTTTAAAAAAAATTAAATTCAATCAAATCTATCGTATTAATGAGATAATAAATCTTGGAAGCAATTATTTAAAACATTCAAGTTACATAATCAATGTCTCATTTGTATTTTAAAAAACTTTATTCTCAAATACGAAAAAAATAAAAATTTTGAATTGCTGCGAGCTTTTGCCTTAAAAAAATGCTGTGCTAGTGGTGTCCTTTACTAGCCTATTTAAGTTTTCCTCGAGTATGTCTACCCAGGCCAAACAAGCCCGGTCGTAAACGGCCGCTTTTCATTGTTTTTCGCCCGTTTGGTAGCGATCGTATTACGGCCGTATTTCATCGTATTGTAGATGAGTGTAAATGATCGGATACTCGATTTCCAGGCAGTGCACGACACGTTGAAAAACGGCCGTAATAAGGTCGCTACCAAAACGTTAATTTACGGTTATTTACGACCGTAAACTATATAAAACGGCAGCATACGTCATGGTTTTGGGTCGTTACGGTGACTCTAATCATCGTCCTGGGTAGCTATCTTTACTTATTCGTAAACTTTATTATCAGCCTTGAAATAACAACATCCATATCCTTGTTTCTCTAGATTTGGTTATGGTTGTTCAAAGTTTTGTTTAAACATCTATTTTATTCATAGTCATATCTCTAACTATTTTCTATAGACTTAAATACTAATTGTTAATGATATTGATATCATTCAAGCCGATGTCAACGAAATTGGTTGTCATTCTACAAGTTTTGAACTACAACAACAGTGAATCATCCAAATGCCATCACCTATTCTCCATCCATTTTCAACAACAACCAAAAAGTATGTTCAATCTGTGCGCTCGACTTTCATCTGCTCACATACGGGCCTCATCAATACTCAATCTATGCTGAAGCAAGTTGAAAATGAACTGTTCATATCAATGTCTCAAATCAATCAATATAACGACAGGTAGAGATAACCTGCGTGTAAAAATCTTGATGCAAAAGTTTTCTTAGTGTGTCTCCGTGTCGATGTCGGTGTCGGTGAGAATATCTGCAAGGATCTTGGTGTGCATATCACGTCATGCTTCTCTTCCTCCTTCCAATCGATTACATTCATAACCACATGCCCTCAATCACACCCAAATTCACCCACTACCACACGCACACACTCCACCAACACACCATCATAATACACCAAAATATTCATACCTACACCCACGTCTAACCATCATCACACATACGCACACACACTGCATTTACATGCAAACTCATACCTACTCTGAAAAAATAAGATGCCATATGAAACCAGTTTTTCAACGAAAGCGATACCTTTTGTGAGGTTTCGTAAAAACCCAAGACACGTCCAAAATGATCGTCCGAATTTTAGGAGTCTTTTTTAAAGATTTCAAAGGTTTTGTTTTCGTTGCAAAATTCGAAATCTTTTTCAAGTTTCGTACCATGTGTGAAACTCTTTTTAAGTTCTGTACCGTGTTTGAAACTTTTTTTGAAGTTTCGTACCGCGCACGAAACCATTTTTGGTTCCGTATGGTACCTTATTTTTTTTTGAGAGCACAGTCATACCCCCATCCACTTCCATACCTAAGTTCAACCACCACCACACTTTCGCACACACACACTACACTCACTCCCACTCCCATAGTCATCATCGGACCCACAGTCATCTCCGCATATGTGATTGCCATGAGGAGAATTGAAATTCATTTTTGGAAGAACCCTTCGTCATTTGTTTTAATAATTTATTCTAAGTTCTATTTGTTTACTCTTTTCATGCAAGCTGACTTGGCTTCCCTTTTGAAAGAGAGGAATGACAGAATTTGAAAAACATAAAAATTAATTAGACGAAGAAAAAAGGTGAGAATGATCGTCCAACAGAAAAATAGAGAAAGAAAGGTAATTAGTCATGGAGATAGGTGAATATATCTGTTTACATAATCCTTCAGTCTTTATATATCATTAGTCTGGATTATATTCTGGCATAGTTTTGCATACTTTTCAACAGTGAGTTTTTTTTTATTATGCTGAATTTTATTCGTGACATCCATATATTTTTTTGTGATTTTTTGTATCATTTTTTGCGGGCGCTTACGAAAATGAATGAGTTACTCTGCCATTAAATAGTCCTAATCACGTTTGATGATCAAGAGAGCATGATCCCTATCTTACAAGTGATTATAGATGTACTCAGTTTTTGATTCTACTTTTGATCAAATTATCAGAAATGACAATTAGTACAACGGAAAGAATTTGTGAATTTTTCGACTTTGATTGCATTGTCATTTTATGGACAAACTCTGCTATCAGTTTTGCTACTATGATTGTTTCACTACTTGTTTTCGTCGAAGTTCATAGTCAAGATGAGTAATAGCGATAATTAACTGATTTGCATTCTATTATCATTAATTAATGTCTTAGATTAATATTAGATACTCGATCCCTTCTTCTTGTAACATATACTCTGGTACCGTCGTTTGTTTCCTATTTCATTTCGGTGTTGAATGGACGAAAAAATAACTGACAATGACAGTCATATCACAAATGTGATGTGCTATGTCGTCGATCAATAACACAACCATCATTCAGTCACTTACTCTTCTTTCTCAACAACTCAATGTCGTACTAGGCTTTGCTATACTAATCAGTGGCCTTGTTGGAAATCTATTGAATATTGTTCTCTTTCTCAGTTTGGGTACCTTCAAGAATAATGCCTGTTCATTTTATATACTCACAAGATCGTTCTTTGACTTATTAGCACTTCTTCTTGGCGTTGGTACACGTATTCTTAGCCAAGGATTTCGTATTGATTTCACTTCATCTAATCGACTATGGTGTAAATTTCGGATTCCTCTTCTCGACATCGCTACGCTTTGTTCATTCAGTTGTTTATGTTTTCAATCAATGGATACTTTTTTCTGTTCATGTCGCTCGGTTTTTTGGCGACAAAAGAGTAATGTCAAATTGGCGCCATATCTAGTAATCGGATTTCTATGCATATGGATTCTACTCGATCTACCCTATTTCTTTCTCCAAGATGTGCTTGTGAATGTGCGATCACAGACATACACATGTATGACTGCTAATGGAACCTATGCACTTTTTCGCAGTTATTTTATTGTCGTCGGACTTTATCTTGTCATTCCTGTCATAATAATTAGTGTGTTTGGTATTCTAACCTATCGACAATTACAAAAGCTAACTGTACATGACCGACGTTCGCGGTCTGCACTCACTAAACAAATGACGCGAATGGTTTTATTCCAAATTATGATTGTATTGATTTTCGTTACTCCAAATGCTCTTACAACAATTTATTTCGTTGCTACGGCTAGTATAATCAAGAGTGTCTATCGTATGGCACAAGAAAGTGTAATACAAGTGGTTTTCAATATCTATGGTTATGGTGCACTTTCAGTAATAAAACTTCTTTTATACACACAGATTGTCGAATAGATGTTGTTTCTATTTTCAGAGTTCGTTTTACTGTTACTACATCTCATCGAAGCCTTTTCGTAGACAAATACGGGATGTTTTCCACTTGTTTTTATTGAATCAGAGAAGAAATCAAGTGGTTCCCAACCAGAGAACAAACAGTCATTTGCCTACTGCTCAACAATGATTATGGCAATGGTAGAAATGGAAAGAGCATTTGCTTTGTTTTCCATTTCTCAAACGAAAAATGCAAAGATCATTCATCTTCAAAATATATATAGACTTTAGTAAGTAGAAAAAAAATGCTACTTCAACTATGTTGAACTAGCGTGAAATCACTTCAAGATGATTTGTAGTCACATTTTGGAATGAGCTGAAAAAAAGAGCCCTAATTATACTTTAAGAAGATTTTCATATCAAACATCTGTAGCTGTTCATTCGTTTCTTTCATCTACAGTCATACTCAAACCTCGTTACAGCATTTGATCACATAAGCAACAAGTGAAGTTATTGAGCCTATGCATATGGAAGAAAAAGCTTTCTTGACCATTCGGCTATCTCAGAAGAGGTCACTATTCTCAAATCAATGAATTCCCACACTCAATAGTCTTCAATAATGCTTCAAAAAGAAAACTTGCTAAAATTCCAGTTCGAATCTACGGACAACAATAACAGTGAGAGCATTCCGAAAAATATTTGTTTTCTGCTCGACGAATCCCGTTGAAACTGACATCATTCAATACGTAATTCGAGTCTACATTTGAGGTCAGTATTTAGTGAGTCAACATCAATCGGCGAGTAAATCCAGTCAAGGGTCAGTTTTAAAATGGAGTCGAAAATCCAATATTATGATTCAAAATTCCTTTTTTGGTCGATGATCTTCTCCGCTTGAAAATTATACAAATCGAACGAGAATATAATATTGAATCTAGCACAACTAATTAGCGATTCAACACAAGTTCAAGAACGCATCTCAGCAACGATTACTTGAATCCACTGCTAAGTTTCCTTACTTTTTTTTCACAATTGGGTCAAAATATAGTAGGGCATACGTGAAAAACAATTATGTTGTGTGATGGCTGTTAATTCAGTTGATTTTTCTTGTTACTACATCTAGTGTATGCTGTAGTTTTCTCTATTATTTTTTTGTTCATTCGCTATTTATTTGCCTTTGGTTCTTTCATATGTTCCTTTCTACTGAGGTGTGTATTCCTTACGTTCTATGGAATACTTCATTGTGTGTTTATATACATATATATGTGTTATTGTGTATCTTTTTGTTTCTTATTTTTCATCTTATCCACATATTAAATAAGCCAGATGTTCGTCTTAACTTCACTTTNAATGCCTAGAAAATCAACAAATTTTCTTTACATTTTAACAATTAATAGATTTATCTTACGACTATTTCACCATTTGCATCAGTCCATGATAATCCTATTTTGATTTCTCTTTCTAATTCTTTTATTTGACTAGATCGAAAGCTTTTTGCTAATTGATGTTCACCAACAGATGAATACATATTTGATAGAAGAATTACACCTGATACAAGACGTTGTTTTTTATCAGGAAACAAATATTTCATTCGATTACATATCTTTTCAGATAAATTTCTATTGCGATTACTACGTGCACCAGATAATAAGCACACTAAGATGAAAATAATAAATACATAAATAAACAATGCATCAATATAATATTATGACAAAAAAACTTACTATACATGACAAAATGTGGTGAGTTTTTCTTTTCATATTCATCTACCATATTTAATGCTTCATCAAATAAAAACAAACGACTTAAACAATCAACCTTACATATAATATAATCATAGTTAAAATTAAAACAAAATAAATAGACAAACAAACCATAACAGTTACGATTTTTTCTCTTTTCAAATTAATTTCATTGAATATATTCTGAGTTTGATGAAGAAGACCTGAATAAGAACATGCATTTAATACACAAATATGTGAAATTTCATTATGTAGATTATTTGGCATCTCTCTATATAATTCAATTGCTTCAGAATCCATTCCATTAAGTCCAAATCCATTAACTTCAAAAATAAATTATCCAATATTAAAGAGGAACAAGAAACAAAAGTAAATATACTTACTCATCGCATTGTATGTCACTGTACCACGATCATAAACTGATTTAAATACATTTTGGGCCTTTGCAATAGAACCACATTTGCCATAAATAACAAAAAACAGACGAATAAATGATTAATAAAATGGTCTACTCAATGAAAATCAACAACCAATACTTACCCACATATGAATCATTGAGTTTTGCATTTGTTTTTCATTTTGAATGTGTAAAGGAATTTGATTACTTATATATTCAGCTTGTCGAATCATACCAATTTGTGAACATGATCCGATAACTAAATTCCATATGATCTCATTTAGAACAATATTCTTTTGTTTTATTTCTTGCAAAATCTTCAAACATTTCCACGGTTCACCATTAATATCGTAGCCATTCATTAAAGCACCATACGTCATAATATTTTTGTTTCTTATCAATTTAACAAAACGTTCAGCATTTTCAACCTCACCAAATTTCATTAACATATTTATTGCTGAAGTTAATAATACATTATTATTTCGATGAATATTAGGCATTTCATGAAGAAGTTTTTTTCCAATTTTTATTGCTCGATCATTAGCAAGTTGAGCACATGCATTAATTACAATAATATAAGTTACATCATCTACATTGAAGTTGATTTGTTCAAATAAATCCAACGATTTTTCATACATTTCATTTCTAATATATCCTAAATAAAATCTGACATTATTCGAACAACTATCTAAGAAATATTACCTTTCATCATAGCACCGTAAGTAACAATATCTTTCTTCTTGATTGAATCAAAAATACGCTCAGCACCTTGAACATCACCAAATTTCATTAGCATATCTATTGCTGAATTTAATAAGACGATATCATTTTGATAGTTATTAAGCATATCATCAAGCAGTTTTCTTCCAATCTTCATCCCTCGATCATTAGCAACTTCACCACATGCATTTAATAAAACTGCCAGAATAAACTTGTCAAGTTTAAACGTCATTTCATCAAGTAAATCCAATACTTTTTCTGGCATATTATTAGATATTAAACCTAAAAATAACAAACATCTAGTAACAAAAAAAAAAAGAAGAAAAAATAATATTAACCTTTGAACATAGCTGTATAGATAAAACTATTTTTTTGTTATCGAAGAGAACAGATGAATTGCATTATCGATGTCATGATATTGTACTAAAAATAAAACAAAAACCATGATCGGTATAAGAATCTATGGATTACAATCGACATTCACTAAATGATAGTATTTTTGTTGAATATTTAGCATGAATAATTTGAAGTTGTATTAATTACTCATTTCTACCATGATTTTTATGTTTGTTTCATGAAGTAAAATCAATCTTTCGAAAACCTGGTTTAAGACTTCTAATAACTATTGACACACTCTTACTGGCTGAATCTTAATACTCTTATAAAAGCATATGAAAAAATATAATATTTGTATCGCAGAAAAAAAGTGACTTTATCGGATTGATCTGAGAAATTGAAGTTTTCTTATTTGCATAAATGAGATCTATAATTACACAAGTTTTATTTTGTGCAGAAGAGATAAAAAATAAAAATGGATTTTATCGGTTAAAATAAAAGTGTTCTCATTCATCGAAGGAGTATTGATAAATTTCTATTATTCTATAATCATATTCTGATTGATAAAATCAATAACTGACTATAGAACCGAATTAATGATGTTTGAATATAAGAATTTTTAAGTGCATTTGATGGATTTTTTTCTTTAATATCGATACCACGTTGATAATCATTTAATATATTGCAAGCATTAATTGCTATGCTAATTGTGTAATTTGTACATTTTTCAAGATTTTGATAACATAAATCTACGGCTTGTTTAAATTGTTTTGTATCGATAAGTGTTTTTATTGTTGAATTTAATTGTGCTGCTGATGATATTGAATTTTTTTCATTATTTGTTTTGTATAATGAAAATAATCTTTGAAATTGATATGTGGAATTAAAAATAGTTTTAAGTCTTAACATATTTTTTTATCTGAAATAATAAAATGAGTTATAAAAAACCTATTCAGCTGAAGTTGATTATTGATAATGACGGTGATTGAAGTTATTCAATATTAGACGAAAAAATGAAAAATTCATTTATTGATAATGATTTTATGAATATATATATATATAATAAAAGTATACAACGTGAATGTTTAAATAAATTGATTGAAAAACCAATCAGGACGAAAATGATATTTTGAATCAGATGATTTTGTCGTTGTAATTGTTTGAGACGATGATAAAAAGCGAAATAGAACAACATCTCTTTATAAAAGAAAAAGATTTAGAATGTAAATATTCTATATAGAGTAAAAATTTACTTATGAGTATGTGAGTATTCATTTGTAACATGTTGTTTAAGAAATTGAGCAAAAAGTAAAAAGAAATTGAAGAATGATTGACGAGGCCATGTACACTATATGAATACAAAATAGATTTAATTAATATAAGAAATTTAAAATAAAAAAATTACTGTTGCTTTTTCAATATCTGTTATATTGAGTGGTGCAAGACTACTAACGATACCATTATTATTACGTAAACCAATCACTATTGTTTTAATACCTTTAATACGTACACATATATTAAACTTTTCAAAATAAATTATACAAGAAAATAAAAAAAAAGAATATTTATTACCAACAAGAAAACACTGAATCCACCATTTAGCAAATTTTCGATTACTATAAAGAATAAATAGTTATGCATGAAATTTATTCATTAGCTTGTTATATTCACTATTTAAATGGCAGATCATCGAGTGATCTTCCAGCACAAACTTTAAGTTCAATATGTTCAGTTATCGATAATGATTTTTCCACTACACAATCCATTTCAGCACCATATAATAGATGATAAAAATATATTGTTGCTTGAAATACTCCAGCAAATTGTTTTGAAGGATTAAATGGTTCAGTTAATGTATCATCTAAAGATTCAAACAAAGAAATATGAGAATAATATCCGAGTAAAAAAAATTAGTGAGAAAAATTTTAACAACAATATAGTTCTTTTTTCTATAATATACAGTACCGAGCTCAAATCCAGATAATGATTTTAATAGCCAATAACATTTTCTATATAATGTATTCTCTAGCAAAATTTCATAGATGAACTATGAAGGTGAGGTTTCTAAAAAAAAACAGATGCGATAGTTTTCAGATCCTAGAAAACTTTGTCAATGCTATTTACTTTTTGTTAACAATACCATTTTAAAGAGCACAACATTCTGAACATAATGAAGAGTTGCCGCATTTCCTAGGGCCTTTCCTTAAAAACTTAAAAGTATTACAAAAGATCGTAAAAAACAAAATTTATCTAAAAGTCAACTAAAAACCTGCCTTTTTCAGGTTTTGTGACCCTTTCAAGTTATTAATGCAAGGTCATAGAGAATGCGACGATTCCTCATTACGTTCAGAATTTTGTGCTCTTTAAAATGACATTATTTAAAAATATAGCTTTGACAAAGCCTTCTGATATTTGAAAACTACCCTGTTCGATCTTTTCGAAATCTTGTTATAGAATGCATTATATAGAAAATGCTATTGGCTATTAAAATCACTATTTGAATCAGGGTTCTCAGTTAGGGAAATCTTTCTCCTTTCCCAAAATGTCTGGCTTTCTGCTAACATTCTTAATATTTTCTGTCAATTTTTTACAGCTTCGTGGCAACTTTGCAGAAAAATCGGATTTCGATAACAGATTGTCTGATGTAGAAGGGGTCGAATCATAGGAGATTTTGGTTTTTTCCCATTTGTGATCACCACTTCTGAAGCTTTGAGGATGAAAGCACTTTCTACTGAATTTTTAGCTTCTATCACTCCTAAAAAGTATCAACAATCCTGAGTTGAATGTCTTACATTATAGAAAAATCTCAAAAATGAATTGTTGTTAAACTTTTTCCCACCACTTTATATTTACTTTTAGTAACATATTCTTCAAATTTGTGACCATAATAACAAAATGAACGATGTTCAGGTGTCATATTTTGTTCATATTTTTTTTTTGCATATCGGTTTCAAATTCACATAAAAAATAAGTATTCTTAAATTTAATAACAGCTAATAACAAATCAGAATGTTTTTCATAAATTGAAAACATAAGAAGACAAAGGGCACCACGTCATGAAAGAAAATCAAATGTAAATCTATGATCAAAAAGAAATACGTTTTATATTCCAAGGAACAAAGATATTTACTGATTATTTTTGAAAATATCTTGTTTATGTCGTAAAATTCATCAAAGCATCGCATTAATATTTTTACTTTGTTTTTCGAAAACAAAATCTGATTCACCAACTTTTAAATCAAAATCAACTTTGAGTGTTTCAAGTGGATATTTATAAACTAAAATAAAATTTATCATATATAACAAACTTGAAAGTTGTTTTTAATTATTGAACATCTTATATCTACAAAACTTTACATTCAAATATTCAACTAGTCATTTCTCTCGTTCAGCGAATAGTTGAATATTTAAAAACAAATGTCTTCAATAATGAAATTCAAATTTCAGTTTTGATACTACTGAAATCTTCAGATGATATTTTTTGGATAAATATGAGCATTTACCGCGCAGATAACGTTTATCTTCAAAACATTCTTTATCATCTGTTCGATTAAATAATGAAAAATAACTAATTTCATGCGTTTGAAATTGAAATGATGATTGTCGATGATTTAGATTCTTCCAAAATGGAACAGATAATGGATTATTTTTCATTTCTGTTGTTGCACAACAATTTCCATCTGAACGATGGATATATTTTCTAGGTGATTCAACAGGAATATCTTCATTTCGTTTGCGTTTTTCTTTTGTTGATGGTGAGATTTGTTAAGTTTTACGTTGAAACACACCAATCTCTTCTTCAATTACATGTTCATCTTTTTCATCAGATTTTATTTTAGCATTAGCCATTATAAATTAACTATCTAAAACACGAGATTTAACTTTCCCAAATAGGATACAATACTTCAACCAATGACTTTTTAGTTTAATTGATCTCAGTTTTCATCTTTAAAAAGTTCATTCTATTTGTTTAACTCTTTGATTACAATGTGTTTTTTTCTACTAGCAAAAACCATTTGCTGTTTTTTTAAAGACAGTTGACTGCACGAAGCGCAGTAGCCAACTTATTACTTTTCAGTCTCTTGGTTGCCTAACAATTTTCTTTCTTCCTCTTCTTCTCCCGAAGGATGCATGAGTCACAATTGAAGTCAGTCACTCGTTCTCAGCTCCCAAACATCATTTTAAGTCGGAAAAAAAGCTTGGCGAAATCCTGAGAATGTGACGAGTGCACATCTGAAATCTGTTTTTTCGAAATTCGTACGTTCGGGATTAACAAAAAAAGATGCTGAGCAAGATAATTAACAGCTGATAGTTTCCTTATATAGCTATGCATGATTCAATCTTAAAATGACTATTCAGATCTTAGATGTTAAACGCATATATGTCTTAATTAAATTATTTATGTCCATATGCGAGTTGAAATTTCATACTGTAAAGTCTCTAACATCTAAAAAGACTTTATCATGGCGTCGAATCATGAAATCAGAAACTTATCACATCTACAGTCAGCCGATTTCTCTACTCAGTCAAAGACCAGGTAGAATTCTTGTTTTACTAACCAGTTGAGTCCTACAGCCTATTCTACCCAACCCTACCATGTAGTGGCTTACAGAACAACCAGAATAGACTAGATAGCGTTACTACACTACTATTGGTATAACCTCCACGGTAACTTTTCATGCGATATCTTGAGTGTGAAATGCTTTGTCTCAAAAATAGAAACCTTCTGTTTCATGTGTAAAGACATTTTGCCTCAGTCTCGCTCTATGACGCATTGTAATACACTTCAAGACTAACAATATTTCGTTATGCCACTAAATATGACCCTTGTATGATAGACTAGAGTAAGGACAGAAAAAAAAGATCATCAAATAGTATAATGTATGAAACGTCATAATCTTGTAGAACTGTACTAAACTGAGAAGATTATAATTGTAACACGAGTAGTTTGAGAAAAGTACAACTCGAATATATACGAGCATGTAACTAAAGAATTACCTATAGAATGAATATCTTAAAAGTTCACAATAAGTATGAATCATTCATTATTAGAAAAACTTAGTGAATCGATCAATTATCAATGTCTATTTTTCGATCATTGTCAATGTAAATTTCTTAGATACTTAGTAAAATGAAATAAATATAAACTTTTCAATATAGTATATAATTTGTTATAGCCCCATGAAAAACCAATATTCAATTTAATTCTCTTAATATATCTGATCATAAGACGAGTCATCTAAATGAAGAATTATTATATTTGTCTACGAAGTAAAAACTATTTCAATTAAAATCGAAATATTATGTAATAATATCAAAATTATAATTAATTTAATAGATTTTGATTTGATTGTACAATAATCTGATTTTAATCAAAAGATTTTTCACAGTATATCTATCTTCGTTTTTTTTCCTCTTTTAACAAATAAATATAATCATCAGAGATCGAGTTTCAAAAGTCAGAATATATCAGTATATTGAAGAACAGCTTTTATTCACTGCACCGATAATAAAATTGCTGCAGATAAATTTACAATCAATATGAGTAGAGAAGTAAGGTTCTCGTCCAAATTTTTAGAACTTCTTGTTTGCATACTATCACACACATCCAACGAAAAAAAATACTTCAATGAAAAGAAAATCTTCGATCATTAAATCATCTATAAATAAATGATAATCATCTAGAATTTTCCTTGTGCAAAAACTGAAAAACATTTATGAGACATCCGTTGTGCGTGTATTGTGTACTACATCTACTAAATGGATTGTTTTTAGCAATTCAACAGAATTCTACTCTCTTTCATTAACGTTCTGACTATGCTTACAAATTTCATTCATATTAAATTCTTCAAGTGCAAAACTGAGAAAACGTTCTGTAAGAAAATATGAAGATCTGTTTTCGCGCTTTTTGAATTCAAGTGAATGATAGTTAACGACTAAATAATAGCATGATACTGAATCGAATGTCATGCACAATCGGACAAATAAATAATTGAAGATTCCCAATGAATTACTTATTAAAAGAACAAAGTTTAGTTGCTCGAATTATAAACGAGTCATAAGCTAGAAATTCTCATCCAGAGATTTACTTAGTTCTATTTTTGAAATTATAAACCAATCACAATCAATTATTATACGTTAATTCTGATGTTTTCTCTTCAATATACAAAATACAAAATACAAATTGTGTTAGTGTGAACAGACATTATGTTAAAAGTATGTAAAATTTCTAATGCAAGCTTTTATCTCGTTCATATTTCCTGCTTTTTGCGACAAATTTTAAGGAAAAATTCAACGGGTTTTGAGTAAAACAAGAATTCAAATCTTATAGAAATTATGACTACCTTATGGATATTTACTAACTACTTAGTATTATATTTCGATGTTAAATTTATCTTCACTTACTCTGGTCTGAAAGAGTTAAATGATAAATGATCCAAAAATGACTCAACATATGCAAATATTAATGTTAGTCAAATGAGACAAGTTAACAGTGTGTAGCTCATACGTCATACTATCCATGACATAATGTAAAGAAAGTTTCATTTAATCTGGAAGACTTTGACTACTCAAGTATCTTCTTGATATATTAATAAATTGTTTTCTTGCAGTTGCCATAACTGTACCTTTATTATCATGCAGGAAGTAATAACAAATTCGCCAAAATATCAACTACATAGCTGTATAATTTGCTGATTTTATTGCTATACCAGGATAGAATAGGCAATATTCAGAAGATGACATCGATTTTACGTTTAATCTTCCAATACGTCTAGCAATGTATAGTTACTCAACATCAACTATACTTTGACAATGTGGATGTGAATAGATGTAGTGTGTTGATGTAAAGACTCACACTCACGCACACATACGTATTAAATAAAGGGAAAATGGGTTTATATTAAGTTTATTTTCATTTTATTTACAATGAATTTTTCAACGGATAACAAAATATTATCCAGAAAACTATTTTAACATTTTATTATTGAATACAAGTAATATAAATGTCGCATATTAAAGTAAATAAGTACCAATACCCAAATTATTAAATAAAGGACAGATATGTGTAAATATTATGTAATAGACAATAGTACTATGTCATATAGAACAAGATTAAGATCAGCTAGATTCTCGTCTTTAATGCACGACTATTGCATCTAACGAGTAGAAAATTAAAGCCAAAGACAAAATCTTGATATTTCAACATCTACTCGACTATGAGAAAAGCGAGCTTGAACCATTGCCCGATAAACTTGAACTTTTTCGTAGTCAATGTCTCCATAAATATCGAGAAAAGTAAATTCTTTTAATTTTGTGATCAATTGGCAAAGATCTTGTTCAAAAACAACTGCGTGTCGAGCTAAAACAAAAGAATTAGATTATTCATTTATTGGCTCATATAAAATAATTCTATTTGCATATATATACCAATTGATTTGGGTGTTTTTAAAGACTTGATCCATCGTAGAATTGGAACCTGGTTCGTGCGTCTTATTCCCTTATCTGGTCGAACTTAAATGAAGAAAAAAAAGGTGACAAAACGATATTAACTCGAAAAGTACATGCATTTCAATGAATCCTATTTTGCCCGTATATGTTTTACATAAAATAATCATTTGATATAAATATAAGCTTTCTTGTGCATAGTTTCGAACACAATGATTCTGAACTGCGAGATATATATATGTCTAAGATAAAAAGCTGTTTTTTCACAACTTATTATTTTTTATCTGCTTGATTCAACGGCGAAAAACTATGTTGCAGACAAGAATTTGGTTCTTACTATTTTTTCCTAATCACATTTATGAAACGGTAAAGAAGTTTTTGGCTCATATAAAATAATTCTTAGTTTCAAATTTATATAGATTCTGACTTAATGTCTAAGTAAAATTTATTTTACAAAGTCGAAAAAGTTCGTCGCAGACCAGCACACAATAGTTAAACATCAATTTAAAAGACTAAGTGTATTTCTGTCAATGCTACCTCTTTCTAAACTGTAAATTGATATCAAACATAGTTAAGTGAATAAAATAGAGAAACATTTCGACAGAAAATTTCAGAATTGAACTTATTTCGTCTCTCTTGATTATTCATCAATTTGAATTAGAAAAAGAGAAAAATGAATCCAATCAGAAACTATAATCTTTATTAGTAGATTAAATACTTCGAAAATAAAATCAAAGTTTTTAAAATATTTGATCTTGCTTTTCAAATATCAACTCTATGCTACATAATTCAAAATCTTGTAATATAGTAAAAGAAGATGTGAATAGAATTGATACAAGAATAATTTTTTCATTCAAAATTGAGCTATACATTTTTTTATAAAAATATCTATATGATTAATAAAACATAAAATAAAATTGAAAATTAAGAATAAACTTACTCGTTGTGAGAAGAAAATCATCTGGTCGCCAGAGACGTAGTGTTTGTAAATGAGGCATATATGTGCTAAGAAAAGGCACAAGATCTTTACCAATATGGTTTGTTTTGTTGTAGCCAGAGTGACAACTCGGAAGACAAAATTCAGCATATTGAACACTACTTAATGCATTCATTCTTAACTCGTTAGATGCCTAAATAAAAACGAAAAGTTAAAGAAATAAATTATGATAATCTATTAGAATGCATTCATCAAATCAAATGAATTATATTAAAATAGCTAAACAATTTTTTCTTTTATCTTATTTACAATCTTGCTTTCTTTTTTCAACTCTTAAATGATTATCTAGTACCACAACAACCATGTAATTCTAATATTAAGCAACTATTTTCAATGGCCTCTGGAAGTAATCGGTTTTGACTGTTTAGATAATTTTACATCTCATATTTTTAAATGCTTTCAAATCTTTGTTTCTTTTGTATTTTGTATTTATATTAGCCATTTCTTCTCTTTTTGTTCGAAAAATAAAACAATTCCGTTTGTTTATTCTTTAGTTTCAAATCTTATTTTTTTGACTAAGTGAACATTTTTAGCTCAAATACGAACTAGATAGCTTAGCTCTTTTGATCACAATCGAAAGTGTTATGGCTCTTACCGTATGTTAAGAGTATAAATTTTCTTCTCAAAACTGTTGTCTTTTTTATTTGCTTATTGTGGAAATCAGTGAAAACGGAACATCCACTCCTATTATTTGTACGCCATTCTTTATCAGGATAGAATTTTTGAGTGAATAGTTTTTGCATAAGTTTATGTGAATTTCCGCTCTTCCTTCATATAGTTATTAATTAATTAATAGTTAACGAATTAGTGAATATCTCGGTAATCAAACGAGAAAAAAAATTTTAAAACTCAGGATGACCTTTAAGAGCCTTTATACAGAACTGAAGCGAATTTTTATCAGAATATTTGATTGCTAGTGAAGTCGTATTCAACCACATCGCTAATGCTAGTTTTTGTTTAAGAACTCTTTTGAACAAAAATCCAGAGTATTGATCTCTTCATGGCATCAGGAGACAATACAGACTCATATACTAAATAAACAAACTGATAATTCTGAGATAGGCAAACCTCAAGTTTGTGATGTTATGTCGTCAAGGATGACTAAGGTCATATAACTATATACAAAAACATTTACTTGAAATAAGTCTAAAATTGACTCATATCAAGCACTTTGGTGAATCTAAGAAAACAAAAATGAAAGTTTTATGTCAAGAATAGAAAAAAAAATAATTGTAAAAATGTTGAAATGGATTTCAATTTGACTTAATGTAAGCAAAAATTTACGCACGACGGCCGACATGACTAGTCCAAAATGTCCGCAACAACCGTCAGGTCTAGTCTGAAATGTCTTTGAGCCCCGTCATGTCTGGTCTGTTTTGTCCGATGAACTCGTTCAGACTAGTCCAAAGATTAAAAAAGAGAAGATAGACGGTGGATTCGAACATTCAACCCGACAGTATTCGAAACTTGACGGGCATCCTGACGGTAGGTCAGAACACTCAGAAAGACTGGCGTCTGTTTATATAGTCTAAATCGCAGATTGACTCACGTCCATTCGCTAGATAATCAGACATCATTCGATATCAAATAACTTTGACTTGTCTCAAATGTCTGTAATAATAGTCATGACTAGTCCATAGCGTCGTGTGCACTCGTCATGTTTTTAAATACTGTGTCGCTCATAATAGTCCGGACTAGTCTGAAGCACTCTTGATAACTACTTTCTTTGGATTAAATATATCCTCTTAATTCGTCTTAACTGATCAATAAAGAAAAATGAAAAAAGTGTAGTGAAAAAAGAAAAAAGAACTTAGTATATGCGTCACCTGTCAAAAATAATCAATGAATAGTCAAACATGTTTAACAAATGGATTAGATAAGAGAATAACAATCGTTTTATTTTATTGCCTCTCTCGTGTTCAGTCTTCGCAAAATTGACAACTGGACACGACCTGTTGTGTTGTGATCACGGAAATGAATACCATAGATCATTATTATATATCAGAGTTATGTCGATTACCACTAGTATTATTAACTTTTTCTCTTTTTCAGAACGACAATCAGAGAGCCTGTTATTAGGGATGCACCAGTCCCAGTTCTAACTGGTGAACTGGGTCCCAGTCGGACTGGGTACTGAGTCCTTCGATATTTAGTCCATTAGTCGAGTAGTACTTTCTTTTCTAGTATATTGCCATACAGTGATTTTTAGGCTGTTGAAGTAGTGAAATAAGTTATGATACTAAATCCATTGGCTAATCATATATTTCTATATATCAATCTTTATAATTTAGAGTACCATAAATGAATTTCATATTTTCAGGGTGTGGGTATGGCTAGGGTGGAGATGTGCATGAGTGGATGTGGTTGTGAGTGTTGTTTGGATGGATATGGGAGTGGATGTTGTTTGGATCCGGGAATAGTTAGAATGGCAATAACGACACCCATACCAATGTCAAACCAACCCCCACACCCACACCCTTAGAAAAGAGGGAAGCAGCGATAGATTGGCGGAATAAACGTCAAATCACTAAGTACCCAGTCACGACTGGGTCCCAGCCCGACTGGGTATCCAGTCGGACTGGACACCCAGTCGGACTGGGACCCAGTTACTGGCACTGGTGCACACCTACCTGTTATGATCAATAGCGAGGCGAAAGATGGATACAGTACTTTTTGGATCTTTCTCTTAATATACTGTGTCATATTTTGTATTTTCATAGATCGAAAATATGAAGCATATCGAAACATAAAAGAAAGTAGGAATAAGTACGGAGAACAATATTTATTTCGTAGCTAGTAATGCTAGTTCATACCATTTAAAACTTGCAGATGTGCTAAATTTATAAAAACATCGTGAAAATAATTTAAATCCTTCGATATTCGAATTTTATGCTATTTTGTTCTAAATATAAATTCTAATAGTCTTAAAATTAAGAATATAAATTTAAATGAACCAGAGTTGATTCAATCGTAAGTTAAAGATAGACAGTGATTTAAATTCCAAACCCAACTAAACCATAATATGAAAAAATGAAGTTTCTTTCCAATAAAAATAGTTTTTATTTTTGCATTTGAAATTTTTTTTTTTAATCAAACTAATTATTCCTGCTTGATAATATTGAAAAGATATTTCGCCAAAGAAATGTAAAATTTTTTCAAATCTACTTTGTTTTATGTTGTCTAAACGATTTCGTATTCTGCAAAAGATAATTTTTTATTCATATGAGAACATAAAGAAAACAGAGTAAAACTATAATAAATAGTATCTTAGAATGATCATGAACATGCAGAAGTAGATCTCTTGATCATATGGCTCAGTGGTTCAAACGATGGGTAAGTTATACATTGTATACATGTTCGAACCTAACCTACATCCTTATATATTTTCATTTAGACTAGTCCGGACTCGTCCACTTAGTAAGGTTGCAATTCGTCCTATGCTTTCCTAGACGTCCTTGCTTTTTCAAGTTTAAATCGTTTTCGGACGAGCGACAGAGACACCAGTCCTGCCTAGTCTTTGTCTCAAAAAGTCCTCGTCTAGGACTAGTCTGCATATTCGATAATAACTTTCTGTATCAATCGACTTCAGCCCAGTCCTGGATGAGTCTTTTCCATAAAAAAGACTAGGCTAGCCATATCTACTGTCGCTCGTCAATCATGTGATTTAAACGGGGCTTCATGACGTCCACCACTCCTGGACTAGTCATGTACCATTCGAATTTGAGACAAAGACTAGGCCTGACGAGCGACATGACGGGAAAAAAGACGAGTCATTTAGCTCGTCTTAAGTTCACTTGGGGTTTCCTTCAAGTGTTAATAGGATATAATCGATCAAATAGTATATAATCTTACGAGGAAACAATAACAGTTGAAAGCTAAAAGAGTTCTCTGCTTATGACACACTTCAGAAAAAAATTTTCTTTTAAGAATATATTAGTTTTCATCATTTATTATTAACTCTTTAATGTTTGATGATTATCTCTACACTCGACACTAATCTCAAGTTAATCGAAGTTGGAGTTTTGTTAAATATTTTCAAAGAAGGAATAAAAATGATATCTTTAGATTAGAAATTATAAAAAGTCATATTGTTTGAATTGAATATAATCAAATTAATTAAACTATAAAACCATGAGAAATAAGAGAAAACTTACGTATTTAACAACATGTAAGAGCCATTCGAATTGTTCGACTCGAAGACATTTAAGTTGTACAGGCATTGAAATGAGATGAGCAAGTACTTGTTCACGTAATTCGTTTCGATCTATTGGTACACTAACATGAGCTGGAAAAAAATATTTTTAGATTCTACATTATTTCCATAATATTTATCAAACAACAAAACAGATTCATTCTAGTCAATATTTTTTCAAAATCTATTTTTGAAGTTATGCATAATCGGCTATGTCTGATTAGTCCAGAATTTAGACCGGTTGGTTAAAAAAAACAATCATCTTCGTAATATTTATTCATATTTTTATGAGTCTTTAAGAAAAAGCATTATACTATACAATACTTGTTATAATTTGTAAACTGTCTAAAAGAGGAGTACGTTTTTTTTCTGTAGCAAGAAGAAAATTTTAACTTCCATTTTACCGAGAAAGTAACAAACATCATTGAGATGAATAGAGAAATTGATTTCAAGTTTTGGTTTTGTGAAAAATGATCCAAAAACAGTGTTGACATCTACAGAAACAAAAAATTGAAGTCATTCCCAACTTTTTCACATAGACTTTGACTAAAGACCGTCACAGAGGGTGACAGACATCTTAGCGCTACACTATGATGCTCATATGAACCATAATGTATGTATCAAGGAAATTGAAACTTGTTACATGATTGGTACGGAACAGAATTAAATTCATGGCTCATGTCGTTTGTCTTTCGAATCATACTCGATGTAATATATGATGATCAATAGGAGATAGCGCTTAGAATCAAAAAATATACTGCTAAATTCACCATTTACATTGTTAGTAACGTAGCAATGCATTATAATTATTTTAATACACCAAGAAATGTGTTAATAGCCTTTTGAGAAAATGAAATGAATTTCGTTTAAAAATATAGAAATTTAGATAAACTAAAGAAAACAAATGGAATTGTTTTTTTATATATTTTATTGAGAAGAAAATTTTAGATTTAAAAAAATTGTGGAGGTCATTTTTTTAAAATTTAATCTTAATCGAAAGAGAGCTAAGTTTTCCGTCTAAACCTCTTCGAATTAATGAAAAGTGGTCGAAGTAACTGTTTCAGCCGAACTGGTTAAAGCTCTGAATTAAGATTTACATAATAATAGATCATGTTAGTATTAATAGTGCCCATTCCAAAGTCGATCACCTTTTTTCTTTCTCTTTACGAAAAATCTTATAACTTTTTTCCGGTATAGAGGAAATATTTTTCTATCTTGTTATTAAAAATTCAATGAAAAAAAAAATTAATTTTTAATGAGTAGTGACGTTTGGAAGCAGACCTACTCAAGATTTTTGTTCGTTCTATGCCTATCGTAATTCGATCACTACAGCTATTTTTTTCCTAATTCGATCATCTAATGTAAAATACATAAGAATTTTATGAAAATAAGAAAAAAAGATGTTCGCACATAAAAATTTCAAGATTGTGAGTTGGTGTCTTAACAAAAGTTGTAGTGCACATGAAAAACTATCTTCATACGCGTCGCGAGTAGTCTAACTTCTATCTTACATGTTGTGCAACATCTGTCACACAACGCATCAACCGCTATTTAAAGTTCGGTAAAAGAAAACAATAAATCTACAGTCTATTGTTTCATTTTATTTATCGAACTGTATATGAGGAAGATGAATATGTATTATTGAAACTAAAAAGAAAAGAAGAAAAAAGAATCAGTTCAAGAAACCTCGTTTATCAAAATATGACGAACTAAGTGAGATTGCAACGAGTTATACTCCACATAAAGAGGTTAAAAAGCTATTCAACATTAGTGCAATAAATAAACAATATCATGTTTTCAAAAATACTAAACTTGAAAACAGTATTCAACCTTTTTAGAGAATGAAACAGATTTTCCGCAGTCAATAAAAACATTTGATAAATTCAAATAAAAATTAATGATACTGAATATCTTCACTCGGGTGTATTGTATTAAAGCCATGATATATACAGTATGTCCTAAAAGTCCCTTCCTAAAGATTTTATAGCATGTTTTAGATATTTCATTGGACTTTTATCATAAGAGATTTTTTGGGAGTTAAATACGAAAATATGAAGTTTTTATTTATTAGATCCACTTTTCGCATTAACTTGTAAAAGTATCACTTTTGATTAAAATACAGAAGTTTTGTTTTATCAACAAAATTTTTTTTTCTTTGACATTTTCAGACAGGTGGATAGAGTGTATAGAGCTCAAAAAAATATGTATATTGAAACATTTTAAATTCTTTTTGATGCAAAGCTTACAGAAAAATACTTCAGAATGTCGAAATAGACAAAGAAAAACAATATATACATAATATTTTTCTTGGTATATAAAGAAAGAAAATTTTTTGTATTTTGATCAAAAATGATACTGTTGCAATTTACTAGAAAAGGTGAATCTGATAAATCAAAACTTTATGTCTTCATCTTTAATTTAAAAACATATTTCACGATAAAGTTCATTGAAATAGTAAATATATACAAGAAAAATTTTAGGAAGATACTTGTAAGACACTGTAGTTTTCAAGTCTTCTTTTTACACGAGAGCTTGGATAATGGCATCTTGTCGAAAGAAGATTGTTTTTGTTTCTTTTTTTATTGTAACAACATTGGAAAAAGAAAGAAATTACAAACGACTGCACTTCGAACGCCATAATAATCGATTATTATATAGGATAGAGGTTAGACTACTCGCGACGCGTATGAACATAGCCCTTCATGTGTACTACAACTTTTATCAAGACACCCACTCGTGATTTTGAACTTTTTATGTGTGAACATCTTTTTTTCTTATTTTCATAAAATTCCTGTATTTTACATTAGGAGATCGAATTAGGATCGATGATTTAATTTGATCACGAATTTTGCTCGTTTGTTAAAGAAAAAAAGCATCAAATTTTTAACTAAAAAATAAAAAAAAATTATATGAGAATATAGAATTCGATATAACCAATCTAACTGTGAAATTTATTTTTGGATTCGATGAAGTTTTTACGATAAAAAACTCTTTGTTCTGAAAATTCTCAATAAAATTAGCTTGAGTGATCGAATTACGATAGACATAGAACGAACAAAAATTTTGAGTAGGTCTGCTTCCAAACGTCACTACTCATTAAAAATTAATTTTTTTTTATTGAATTTTTAATAACAAGATAGAAAAATATTTCCTCTATACCGGAAAAAAATATTTCGAACGGATGTTGTGGAAAAAAGTTATAAGATTTTTCGTAAAGAGAAAAAAAAAGGTGATTGACTTTGGGATGGGCACTATATATGTATATGAATAGATAACCAACTTTGACAGATATAAAGTACATTCTAATAGTGAGCAAATCTGAAATAAAAATATTGAATATTTACAGCTAAAATCAGGACCATTCACTTGGGGTCATGAATTTTTTTCTCGTGATTACAGAAACGCTTTTCACTATTTCTTATTATAAGTATACGTTGAATGTCTTAAAATGCTTATGAAATATCGATTTTCTTCACAAACAATTTCACAAAAAAAACTATTTCATAATGAATTAACTTAATTCTTATGAAATCTTCGAAAAACGAAATGAAATTAATACTAACCTATATTTCGATCGAAACATGTTCCAAATTGAATTTTTGTAACATTTCGAAAAGGAATATTAATTCCCTTGAATTTATTCATTTTTAATAACATTTGCAATGACATTGAAAGGTCCAACTTGTCAAATTCCATTTCGTGAGCTATAAACAAACAAAATTTAATGTAAATTTCGTTTTACTACATTTTTACCTTTTGCGCGAAAGATATGAGAGGGCGGAGTCAAGACTAAAAGGTAAGAAGTTACTGAGATTGGGACCAACGCGAAAAAAAGATCTATCATAATAGGACTAGAATAACTAGAGATAGAGCTAAAATGTAGGTTACTTTTTTAAAGAGTTTTAGAAATTTATACCCAAAACGAACAGTATGATCGTCGTATACTAGAAAACAAATCATCCAAATCGTCAATATAAAATCAACACCTTAGACCAATATCATAATAATTCGAGATTCTTTTTTTTTCTTATGATAACAATACATAATAAATGGAAAATATTATGAATTTTATATAATTAACAATAATTAATTATCAATATACAATGCATAGAGGAATAAAGAAAATATATGCATGTGAGTGATTTAGTCCTTGAATTATATGATGATATAATGCAAAACTGTTCAACCATATACTGATTCATGAATTAGAGCGAAAGTTTATTTATGTTGGATTGACTTATATTCAGTTTAGTTTTAATAGAGTTTAAATGACTACAATATTATCTTCTTGCTGCAATTATTCTCTATTGCTATTTAACTTTTTTATAATTTTATTGAATTAGAAAGAATTATATTATTAACTGACTTAATTAATTGAAAACCGAGCATTAAAGAGTCTTTTCGGATTTCATACCAAAAGATATACTGAAAATTTCTATTCTAGATTTGGATCAAGTAAGACTGAAATCGAAAGCAGTTGATCCTGCACATTTTTAATGAACAATCTCCATTTTTGCAGAATTCTTTTGGAAAAGGTCAACGATTTTCACAAATGTCATACAAAGAAAATGTGTGAAAATAAAAGATTTTCTCACTTATCTACTTCTTCTATCATCAAGAGAACTATTGAAATGCCAAAATGATTTACTTTTATAGACATTGATACAAGAAATATCAGGAGATAGGTTATTAAATTGTTCGAGAAATAAAAACAATGATGGATGATGAGGAGTAGAGTATTCGTCAATATATGGCCAATTCAATATACATGGACGAATACTACAATAAAAACAAAACAATTAAATGGGAAATTTCTCAATTTTCATTAAGATAAAAATCTTACGTAAAATTATTAGAAAACTCCAGCGTGTTATTAAAAGAAGAAAAAAGATGTTGACATGACATGATTGGATCAAATAAACATTTAACATTTGTCCATTGATGTGAAATAAAAAATGAGTTAATTTTAAATGAATTAGTTATGTTTTCTATATCATTAATTGATAACTGACATTGTGTACAAATATAAAAATTGAAATCAATTAAATTAATTATCATATCAGGTAAACAATATTGACGAATGAAATCTGCATCAATAAATGATTTCCATATATTTTTAGACTTTGTTTCAATAATTTTATCACTTATAAGATGAAGTTGAAGTTTCACAACATAATTAAAATTGTTAAGAAGCCATTTCAAATAAATAAATTCTAAATCGGTGTAAATGAAAGTTTTTAAACTAAAATATCGTAATTTTGGTACCTAAAAAAAGTATCCGATTGTTTTAATTGATCAGATAAAACAATTATTGTGAGAAGTTCAGAAAATAAAAACAATAATATGACATACTTTATGAAACCAGTTTCCATTTGATTGCCTTAAAATTTCAATATTTGATGACCATGATGATGCGTGATTTAATGAAGAATGAAAGTCTACAAGCAGTTTTTCGAGATTAGGTACATGTTCAATAAGATTTTCGAGAAAACACGTCTGATTAAGACGAATATATATACGACGAAGAGTCATACAACAAGATGGAAATTGACATTGAGTAAAATTGGAAGAAAGATGAGAATATGACATGAAACATCTATGAATACTACCATACCGAAATTCGTTGCCAATATCAAGTCGAAGAGATGTTAATTGACATCGAGCAGAAAATAATTGACAAAGGAGTTTTTTTATCATAATCATTTCGTTTTCTATAAAAAAAAATTTTTAATGAATTAAACTATCGAATATCGAGCACAACTATATTTGTAGTGGGTCAACTGAATAAATATAGAAGCTGATTGGCATTTCAATAAATGAATAATGACAATATCGTGAAGATAATCATGAGATAAAATTGAAACACAAGAAAATAATGATTTATTCAATTGTATAGTTTTATTTATCATAGATAATTTTGATCGTCTATATAATGATAGAATCTCTTACATAGTAATGAATCAATGGTAAGTAGAGACCTATATCATCTATGTATACTTCAATTAGGTAACCATTTACTGAACTTTCACTTAATACAAGGATATCTCAGCAAATGCCAGATGTGTAGATTTCAATCTCAAAATTTATTCAAAAATAGATCTTGTAAGACATAGTTCAGTTCAAACTAACCAATGCTTTCTTACTCATAAAAGATTGAAAATGGAACTTTAATAAAAATGTTTCAAAAAGTGCAAAATCCTAGAACTTGATATTAGAAGTGACCGCTTATTTTAGTTAAGGATTTCTATTGGAAACAACATGACATCGACTTAACAATAAGTTTTCAGGTTGAACCTCTATCATTTTATATTTCTTGATACATTACTATTCACAGAAACTCTCGTGAAATAATCATAACTAGAGCAACGTCAGACAAGTTTTCAGTTGAGATTCAAGTAACCCTTTTCTCAATTGTTTCAATCGTGCATCAGATAAATATTTTCTGATTGAAACATAGGATCCCTCTCGAATCTTTTGGAATTCTGTACTTTACTAAAAATGATATTGCAAAACGTAAAATGATTGTAAAAATCTTTAAAATGTCTTCTCTTTGTTGTTTAAAAGCAGTTTTAAGAAATACTACCATAGAATATAACGTAACATATTTTAAGATCCAAAAAGGTGTGCATGCCTCTTCTTCAACAGACTAAACTCGGCACACTCTCAAAAAATAAATATATATTTTATATCTTATATTGAAGATGACACCATCTACGGACACTTTGCTTGATTGAGATTCAATTGAAAATATTAACATATACGTATCGACCATATAATGCATATCAACGATTACTTACAATACAATGAGAGTATTTCTCTTTTTAGGAGCACATATTGTCATCATATGAACATTAAATGAACAATTTTATATGAAATGCAGATCATTTCAGTAGAAAACGATGTCTATTCTATCTTATTGTACAGAATCTGTCAAATAAATGATTACATTACCTATATCGAAAGTTCTTGACGAATATTTCTTTATGTAAAGTAATCGTTTGAATGCTTGCCGATCAAATGTTAAAGTGAGTTCATCCAGTTGATGTTCAATCAGATGAGATAAACTTTGAATTATTGGTTCAAGTGATCCACATCGAGTAAGAATAAGTGATTTAAGATTGGGGAAGCGAAGGATATGTTTACCATTAAATAACCATTCATAACAAAGATTAGAAGCAGTTGAAAATGTATCATCAAAATGAATACGTTGAATAGAAGAAGAAAGAGATGATGAACTTGAAATCAATGGAAATAATATCGAACAGCATTTATTGTAAGATAAACCATTTGAAATAAGAAGACCACTATTTAGTTGATTATCATTTATTGAAAGAATTGAACATACAAGAAAATTGAAGCGAATGTTTAATGACCATAAAGATGTTAACATATCAAACCATGGAAGATAAGAAAAAATATTGAGAAGAATTTCATTAGGTAATGTTTCTAATTTAGTAATCATTTTATCTAAAATAAAAGATATTTCGTAGTTTATTTATCTTTATCGGTTCAATCATTATGAATCATCAGCAGAATGATTTGCATAGCGAAATAAAAATAGAACAATTAATTTCATTCTTGATGGGCACATGAATATAAATAAATCTTCCACAATTTTTACTTAAGTATGAATCTGATAACAACACGAAATGCAGTTTTTGATTTTGTATAGCAACATTGCTTAAGCTTTTAATTTGTCTAAAATAATGTTTTATCGTATAAATATGTGAAAAATGCTCTATTAAAGACGAAAAATTTACTATTCATGTTATTGGACATATCATTAGCTCATATTGTGTTACGATGAAAACTTGAACATTTTTTCCTAACATATATTGCACTTCATATATTTTCTTTTCCTTAAAATAAGTATGTCTTGAGACGAATGATGCCTGCACTTTCTCACTAATATTATATGACAACAAATGAATAAACCGTATCATTAAGAACAGAAAACAGAAAGAGAATGATTCAGCTGTTTTGTCATATTTGAAAGACCATTTTTTATGGATTATGATCCAAGAAGAGATAAGTTTAGATATTCAGAAAAGAAAATTACGAAAACTCGCATTTGTGTTGAAAATTAAGTTAAAGACAGAAGAGAATATTTTCTAAATTTTTTCGTATATGTTTAAACTCTTCCGAATGATGGAACATCTTATTTACTACAGTTTTCAATAAAAAACGTTATCTCTTCTAGTTCTATTTCCAAAAGTATAAGAAAGCTGAAAGAACTTACCTTTTCAATACTACACTTGCAATAGATTGATTATTTTAACCATTCATTATTGTATATTATTTCAAAATAAAGAAAATATTCAGCCTATAACTGAAGTCTATTTTGTTCATTACTGGTATTTTCAATGTTCGAAGAAAAATAACGATTTAAGACTTCCATTTACAAGTCTGTTGATATAGGTCATTAAAACGGAAGATAGCCATTGCTCTTCTGTCTGTTCTAAAGGATCTGCAACAAACCTTATAGTTCTATAGTCAGAGTACGCTTGATTTCAGTTACAACACAGGCATAATATTAAGAAATAATAAAATTGTTCAAGTGCTAAATTACTAATTTATTTCAAATTGCTTATAAATGATGAGAAAACACACAATCTTCTATTTCTTAAGTGCATGATTTTTCTATCTTAACGAAAATAATAAGATGCAAAACATAATATAAAATACAAACAGATCATCTTAAAATATATATATACATATATTATTCCATCTAATATTCAAAAGTCACCTACTTGTGTGGGAACAAAGAGCATAAAAAGAAACTCTGATTTGTCTCTCTCATGACACGGATAAAGTGAACAAAAAAGGTCAAGTTTGCTCATAAAACATGGAAATGTTAAATGCTTCATTCATATGATATTGGACGAAAAAAAAAATATTCTGTTCTATTTTTGCTCGTGTCGACAGCGGCATAACTGTCTATTTCAATCTTTGTCGTACAAAACAGAGAGAAAACAGATACAAGTTATGAAGAACGAATGAACTAAGATAATGAGGATATCGGACACTTAAAAGACATTACTATCTCGTCTCTTTCTCCAACATTATATAACTGATTCTAAATGAATTAACTATTTAAAAGAAAGGAAACATGGAGATTTTGTGTATGAAGCCGACTAACATTAACAATATTTGCAACAACAGGTGTCGTTTAAAAATCATTTTTCTTTATTAAGTTGTTGCTTTTTAAATAAATATTCTTCGTGTATGAGTTTTTATTTTATTGTAATAAACTAAAGAAACAAATATTAATTTAGTTTTAGTAAACAATGACATATAATTTCAAATAATTCTTCTGCATTTATAGTAAAGTATTTTTCTACCTAAGAGTCTTAAGATATAGCAAAATAAACACACTCAAACATACTAAATTACTTTCGTTGTTGTGCTTGAAATAGGTACATCGTTTTTTCGATTTTTTCATGCATTAATTAATGTTTTATTTTTGCCTTTGCATAATAATATTTTGTCAATATACGCATTGAGTTTTATTCGCTGTTAAATGGTCCAATAATATCCTTTACTATTAAATGATCAAACAATGAGTATTGAGGATCATATGAGAGGAAGACCTGACATCATGGCATGTGTTTTATAGTGAGAAGCTGCCTCATTTTTGAAGTAATTTTTATTTTTCAAGCGTTTTTACGGAAACCGAAAAGTTTAAATGTTTTGCGCTTTTTGCCTAGAATAAATCTTTATGCAAATAATATATCTCATCTGTCTTTTAAAAACAGTTCAAAGATTTGAAAAATAACTATCTTTATTAATTTGCGCGCTCTGCATACATTCGGTTCGAGTCAAATTCTATCGAACCATCTCATGAAATTTTTCTAAATAAACATTATCAAATGAATTCAATGATGTCGAGTAAGCGTAAGATGTACCTTGTTTGAAGAAAAGAACTTATTTGTTTTTGTTTTGAGTGAAGTAGTTGAATAAACATGAGAAAAAAAAGTAAAATTTATTGAACAAAGAACAAAGAGAATATCAAACTAGAAAGAACTTATAAATAATCCTGTAATCATATAAAAAATTGCTCAAGCATAATTTCCATGATCTTTCTTGGCAATATACCTAATTAGATTGACTATACCATTTGAATAACCATATTCATTATCATACCTGAGAGAAAAAGGGAATAATACATTTCGTATGAAAAATATTAAATAAATGAAAGCATAGCACAAGGGTGTGGGTGTGGGTGTGGATGTGGGTGTGGAGTGTGGGAATGGGTGTGGGAGTGGGTGTGGGTGTTTGAATGTAGGGTGTGAGTGTGTGAATGTGGCTGTGGGTGTGTGTATGTGGGTGTGGGTGTGAGTGTTTGAATGTGGGGTGTGGGTGTTTGGATGTGGGGTGTGAGTGTGTGAATGTGGCTGTGGGTGTGTGTATGTGGGTGTGGAGTGTGGGTGTGAGGTGTGGGTAAGGGTGTGGGTGTTGGAATGTGAGTGTGGATGTGTGTCTCGTACTAATAAACATAGCACCCACACCCACACCCCCACCCACAACCACACCCCACACCCCCACCCCCACCCACGCCCACCCCCCCCCCCCCCCCCCCCCCCACCACACCCACGCAGNCAAAATACAATAAAATTATTCATTAATTGAATAATTTTGAAAGTCACTGTATAAATATGTCGAATTTTTCTTAGTTTGTGAAGATTTAAATTTTATAAATTGCTGTTTCTACACGCTACTTAAGTTCTATAACCATCTTATAATACTAATACTGGATGCAAAGAAAAAAATAACTCTTTCAGTATTTTTTTGATGTCGTAACAATTTTTTACATTGTCGAAATTTTCATTTCATGAGAAGATTCAGTTTTTTATTTTCGTGAAAACTGTATATTTCTATTAACAAGAGAATATTTCTTAATTTTCTGATTCGTAATGTCAAAGCATACTTTACTATATAACCCTTATCCTGCTTAGATTTGTTGAAAAAGTTTCAAGTGATGCTACTTTTTGATTCTATAATCTATTCCCATTTGTTATTGATAAATTTGCATTAAAAATGAATAATCTACCTATTTTGCTTATTGGCCATTCTGGATATTATCATACATAATAATGTAACTTATTTCATGAATTTCGGCACATTATTTTTCAAAAAAAAATTGCTCTAATGTTATACAACTCATAAAATGTTTCAATGCATTATTTTTTTTTATAAATGAAATGAAATAAAAAATGCATAAAAATTCTTTGTCCTTTCTCATAGATTCTAATGTAGTTATTTTATTAAGTATAAAAATAATGCATTGTAATCAAATAATTATTTAACGACCAAATAATACATTGAAACAATCTTTGATTATAGAATATTAAGGTGTTATTTAACAAATAATCTATGAAAATTCTTGAAATAGATTTACATTACCATGTAATTATCATTATTATGTATATTCTATGACATTCATTATGTCTTATTAGTTACTAAAATTGGCTACATGGGCATCATTATCTATATACATAATGACATGCTTATTTGCATCATTACGTTTAAAACGTCTGTAATTATTAAACTTCATAACTCTACTGTTTATAAAAGTACATATAATGCTCTAGTTTAAGAAACATTGAACGAATTATAGTTCATACAAGTAACTGAGAATTTTAGCTATCAAATAAAGAGTGACAAATCGTCATAGAAGTCACGTATGGATTAATGCCGATAAAACTCATTAGTCTTCCAATAATCAATGTTCAAAGTTGTTAGATTATTTCAATTTCAATCGATATTTACCAATAACAGATGAAAATAGAATATAATATCACTAGAAACTTTCGCTAAAATTCTAATCAGGAAACTAGTATTTATTCAAGTTCACTGGTTTATTGCGTATAAGAAAATGAAGAAGAATTTCTTTCATTAATAAAAATGTAAAATTTAAAAAAAGAATTGAAAACTAAATCTTTTAATGAGAAAAAGAATTCTTTTCTAAATAGCAAAAACAAATTGACATATCGAAAAAATAATGTAATGATTATCTATTTTGTTTCATTAATTAGATAGAAAGTATATATTTCAAGTTTATTTACCGGAGAACGTTCATTTCGATTTTGTGCGGATATATGTTCATCTGTTGATGCTTCATCAGATGTTTGATCAGCTTGATCAAATGTTGCACTTGTACTTGTATTTGGTCGAGAATTTGAACTTGTTACTGTACGTTTTTGAACTAACAGTGGTTCACCTATTAATTAAAAATAAGTTAATATCGATTTGATATACAAAAAAAAACAAAGTTATTTATTCATACCACTTGAATTACTTTCATCAGATCTGATTCTGCTTCCTTTCATAATTTGACCTGGTTGTACAACAATTTGATAATCATTTTCTGATTTCCATAAAAATGAATAACATGTAAATATTGAATTATCAGCTGTAACATAAACTTCATATTCAAAACTGAAAAAGAAAAGTCAACAAAATTAACTTCATAAGAAATAAACAAATAAAAATTACTAACCAATTTCTTTCTTCATCGATTATTTTAACAATAAGCTTTTCAGAATATGAATGATTACTACTAAAACATATTTTCATGGTAAAATCTTGTTGTTTATCAACATTAATTATTGCTGGTTCAACAAATGTTGCATGAAAGTCATATGAAACATCTATTGGTTTAACATGAGATAAGATAATTAATTTTGTATTCCTAATTTAGAAGAAAAAAAAAACCTTAATAATAAACTTTTCGATTATATGAACTTACTTTTCAAAACCTTTTGTTCGTAAACGAACTGTTCCAACACTTTCAATATCAAGTGGTACTGGCGGAAGAATTAAACGTCTTGGTTCAAATATTAAACTTGGCATAATTAATTCTCCCGTTAATTCAATATATGTATAAGGTATTTGTTGATTATGATTTATATAAAATGGTATACGTGTTTTATATATTCCAGTTTTTTTTGGTACAAAATTAATTTTAAATGAAAAATTTTCTTTTGATTCAATTTCACCTTCTGGTCCAATATTTGTTGATGGACTTATAAATGGTACAAGTGAAGAATGTAATACACGAAATATATCATTATCTAATGTTGCATTATCACGTAAATCAAGTTGCCAATGAATTTTCTTTTTACTATTATTCATTAATATTATTTCTTGACAATCACAATAAGCACCTTGTTTCATAGCATTATATTGTGTTGAATACATTTGAAAATTTAATTCTTTTGTTGATAATTGTAAACAATCAGATAATGCTGTTGCACGTATACGACAATTTATAGGTGGATGTGATGGTTGTAAAGCTTTTTGTTCACTTGCACTTAATTCACGATGATGATGTATAGCTGATGAAGGTTTTGCTGCTTGTGATAAACCTTCCACATTGAGTAAAGGTGGGCATGTACGAATTGGAAGAAGAAAATCATAAAAAGCAATCTGATAGAAAAGAAAAAAGTAAGAAAAACAAAGCAAAAAAAAGAACAAACATACTTCAGCTGGAATAAGAATAAGTTCAGCTTCGATAGATTCATTTGGTTGAACAGTTACGCTATAAATTTGACCATTTTTTGTACAGCATTGTTCATTACCTATAAATTAAATTAGAATATTAAATAAATTTTAATAAAAAATTATTTAATATTTACCAATAGGTGGATTTGTTTTTATACTAAAATCGGGATATTTTGAAAGATTTATTTCAACAATACCTTTGACACTGCCCTGGAAAAAGAAACCAGAAAAGATATGATTTTTATTATTGAACATTTATATATATATATTTTAAATACGTCAAAATTTCAAGTTGAAAACTATTTAATTATGTTTATGAGAAAATATCAGCATAATTAACTTTAAACTGAATCTATTTATAGTCAATTTATTTTTATTACATAACAAATATTATGTACATTTTTCTAATATTATTACACAAATTTTATCATGAAATTAGATGTGTACGTAACTTATTAATATATTATCAAGCTTTTGATGATAATATTTCAGATAATACTTATGTTAATAGAAACAAATAATGATTACTAGTAAATGATTTATGAAATAGAGATTACAATTATATTTATCTAAACTTATTTCAATATATTTTTGTTTTCTAAATCTAATTAGCATAAAAGATATTATTGATTGAAATTGCAATAAAATAAATGAATGCATTATATTTTCTTTATTTTATTTTAAATTTTCTTTTCCATTTATTTAATGAAAATAAAAGATTAAGCTAATGACCATGAACTACCATCACATAGAAGACAATTGCATGTACCACATCCGCGTGAATCAAGTCGACTTCCACAAAAACATGGAGCGAAGCATAGCATTGGAACACAGAATGAATTGGGTAAATGAAAAGTATTTGGAAATGATATAGCACGACGTTGATCTTGAACAGATGCAGCAGGATTAGCCGAAATCAAAAGAGTACCACAGAGAAGAAGAGAAACAAGAATGGCGATGATTTGATTACGCATGATAATAATTAATAATAGTCTTTTCGTAAAATTTTCAAAATGACTGGTTTATTGTCGAGTTTAATTTCAATATTTATTAGGGTTATTAAGCAATCAACATCAATTCAGCTGACAATATTCTCAAATGCATATATACACCTCCGCAAGTGTTATTGATATCAAAATCGAGAGAAAAAAAAAGAAATCACAAGTAGCAAACTAATATCATTATGATTAAATTTTTCTTTAAGCCCCATTGAAAATTTTCAATTTAATATACATATTCACTAAACAATACGAAAAATATCAAACAAAAAAAAACGTTTTAGTGATGGAGCTGTTTTCTGAATATAATAAATCTCTAGCTTTCAACATTACTACATCAATACTATTATATATTTTTACTAAAAATACATTTCTATACATTCATCAAAACCTAACTATATCTTATCTTCAAACCTAGTGTTGATTAATATACGTAAGCAAATATTTCAACTCGTTGACAGAAACATTATTATTCGTAATATCTACAGATTCAACCAGCATATATTTTTAAAGATAAATATATATTTTTCCGACGCATATTTTCTTTTCATCGATATCTAATCTATCATTACTTAATAAAATTTTCTATTTTAAGTACTAATTGATAATCATTAGATGGCAATACATAAATACTGGCTATTTTTTTTTTCCTAACATTATTTCTATTATTTTAAAGCATGCAGCTAACACGCATATTATCTATCGTATTCTTTCTTGGTCTTTTTTTAACTATTGTTCTATCGGATTCAACACAATTGGACATAAATAATGATGATCAAGCTTTAAATTATGACAATCATATTATATCGCAAAGAAGTATATTTGGTCATAAACATCGTCATCATGATGGACAACCACGACGATGTGTTCGCTGTAAATTTAGTCTTATTCGTTGTTGTTCACCAAATATTTGTGTTAAAAAACATTTTCGAGCAGATAAATGTCTTCGTGTAAAAACTTAAATATTGTATGATTTTTTTTTATTGTCTCCCGAATAAAAATAAAACATGTTTGCTGTGCTTAATTAATCCAATTGAAATAACAAAAGTCATATACACATGTACATCAACTCGAGAAAATCTTATCTATTTAATTAATTTGTCTAATTAGAATTTTTTTTTCTAAAAAAAAACCATAACTTCTTAGGTATTTCCGTAATTAAATTAAGAGTACTCTCTGCTTTTCGTGATCCGAAATTTTATGGCCATTGTATAGTCTCAATTAGTATTTTCTACTCATCCAAGAATTGTCTGTAAATGGTAAAAGTTCGCGAAGAAATCACATTAGTCGAACTGTACATTGTTTTGCGTTTTTCTCAAACTAACATTTTCATGACAAAAACAAAGGACAGAAATGCCATCGTTTCTCTGGCCTAATATTTTTCGTTTATACTTTTTTTGTTTCAAAAAATATTATTCTGCTCTACTTTTTGTAGTTCTTATAAAAAGAATTCTATTTGAAAAAAAATCATACGTTTTTTTAGAGTACCTTCGATATTTTAGCGTATTTATATGAAGAACAAAAAATACAAAGATACTTATCTTAAACAGTATCAAGCGCCTGTGAAAATTTTTTATCTCGATCAAACATACCATCTGGAAGAAACGGAGAGAGAAAATTGGGACCATCATGATTCCATAGAAGATAACATTCGAAAACTATGAGTCTAGGACAACTTTTATTCTACTCATCAAAATCTACCAAATTTTTCTGATCAACCGTTCTCCAGAAATACCAGAAAAGGGAGGGAGTAGAGCACATCGGATGCGTACCCAATCGAACCATACTTTGATGTTCTCAATCAAATTTTCGAATGGAACTTAGATATTCGCCCCGAAGGACCAAAATATTTCTTTTCGTTTTTGTCTTCGGTGACTAGCGTTTCTGACAAGTTTTCCAAAAGACTAGAGTTCATCAAGTGTGGAACTAAACGGATGAGCTTTTAGGGAGTAACTTTAATAGAGAAAAGAATTTCTTTTTTTTTTCTCCTACTTTATTTTCAATATGAAATTGTTTTGTTGCTTTCATTAATATTGGTACACCACCAAAATTAAATTCATATTCAGGAATATTCAAATCTGGTTCAATAACTTCACCTGTCATACGAATTTCTTGTTCATGTTGTCCAAGAACTTTTAAACCAAATTTAATATCGAATTTAATTAGTTCGATTGGTGTTACTTCAATTGTTATACTTGTTTGTGAACCACCTGAAACAAGACCATTTGCTGGATTTATGACAACACCAGCACATGGGTTTGGATCAATTATCTTAAAAACAAAACAAGAATTTTTTTTTTTGGATAAAACAAAATAAATAAAAAATTATTATACTTGATAAAAAAGATGATTTGTTCCTTCATTTACGATAGTAAATGATTTTTTTGATGTCATATTTATTGGTATTGAACCAAAATTAACACGTTTTTCTGGAATTTTAAATTTAGCTTTACCAACTTGAGCAATACATTGAAGTGTTAAAGTTGTTTCAGTATTTGTCATTGTTGAAAAATTATTTCCTGGCATTTTTCGTGAATCATTTGTTGAAAAAATATGTAAAGTAAAAAAGTTTTCTAATGGTGCTTGTGTGCTACCATACCAAACAACTTCACTATCGATTGTTTGATATGGTTCAATAATTCCTAAATATTTTTTTTTTAATTATTTTTTTAATAAAACAAAACTAAAAGAAAAGAAAAAAACCTGTTGCTGGACGAATTGAAAATGCAGTTCCTTTTGGACCAATAACAGGTATCCAACGAAATTCAGCTGGAGCATTTAATGGATTATATAAATGAACAACTTTACGAAATGAATCCTCAGCTAAAAGATGTGGTAATGAACGTATAAGAAGTTTTTCTGTTGATAATTGTACTGTTGGTAAACGAACATCAGCTATTATTTTAACATAATGACGGTAAAAATTGTTAATTATATATGAAAGTGAACGTTGATAAAGGCCAATTTGTGTTGGTTCAAATGTTATTGGAAATTGTACATGAGATTTTCCTGGTATAACTTGACATAATGGTGATGTCATTTTTAAAGCAGCTGAATCAACCTGAATGAAATAAGTCGCTTTTTTTTAGTAAGGAAATAATTTTCAACAGAAAAACTACATACATCGATTTGAACGAGAATATATTGATCAAGATTATTAAGAACGGATAAAAATTTTGTTACAGGTGCATTAACACAAACATCACCAAAATTTAATTCTGGTGGTCCTGAAGAAAAAAACAAGAGATTTTACTACTATTGAAATAAAAATGACGATAACAATAACAAACCAACAACGATTTTAAATAATTGACTTGGTGATAAAAGTATAGAACAATCATTTTTTTCTTTTTGTGTTGTTGGTACTGAATTAAGACCTTCTTTTAAAGGTTTACGCAATAATGTTTGTTCTTGTTCAGCCAATTCAGACGTTGTTGGTAAACGGTATTTCCAATTTGGATAAGATGGAACTTGAATATGGCAAAAATAAAAGAATAGTAATAATAATTTCATAAATTACATTTATTTTTAGATGTACGGCATCCATTAAAGAAAAAAAGAGATGTAAAAGATTTTACTACGTCTATTACTTGTTGCTTTTTTTTCTTTCTGCATTTCATTTTCTATTACTTTTTTGTTTTTTCTTTGACTTTTCCTCTCGTCTAAAAAATCCTGTATTTAAATAGTATAGAACATTTGTCAGGCTATCTTACGCTTTGATGCTTTTACTATTTAAAACAATAAATTAAAAAAAAAGAAAATCACTCTTTCATGAGGAAATGAATTAGCAAATGAGTTTTATTGCAGTCTCTATCATTTTATATTGAATTTGGATCTAAAATAAATTATGCTATCGAATTACTGTTTTTTTTAAATATTAATATTTTTTAAAAGAAGATAGTTATATAGGGTGTTTTCTTACTTATAGCTTTATTAACATTTTTTTCTACGTCCGCTAAAGTAATATGAGGTGATTCAAGTCCATTGCCTGGCTTTATTCCAAGGTCCGTTACATTATCATATTTTTTATGTTCTCTAAATGTTTAAAAAAAAGAAATAAGAAAATTATTTTAAATTATTCTTTGGGTTTTTTTTTCAAACTACTTTGTTCTTTTAACTTCTGATCGTTGAAATCTTTGTTCATCAAATAATTGATTATACATATTTTCATGTATTTCAATTTGTTTTCTTTCTTCATCTGTATATGCATAATCAGGATCAACATAATTATATCGTTCTTCTTTAGTAAATGGTGTTCTGAAAGAATAAAAACAAAAGCAAAAGAAATAATACTATCATTTCTTTTTATTGCAAACCTACATAAAACTATCACCTCGATTAAATGGTCCAATACTTCTTGCACGATCATTTGGAAATGATACTTTATGTCTTTTAAAATTATTTAAATACGTAGTTGATGCTCGTTTATTGTGAATTGTGTCATTAGCACTATTTAAAACAGCTGCACGTGGATGAAAACGTTTTAATGAATCTTGTGTTGTATTCACATTAATACCAACTTCATTAGAAATTATTGGTTTGAGACCTATAGAAAGCCAAAGAAAAAATGAATATATACAAAGAAAATATCATGACTCAATTATTTACCCATGTTAAATTTTTCTGGTGGTATTTCAGTAATAACTTCTGAATAACCCGTTAATAAACATTGAGCTTGATGAATAGATTTTGATTGTGTATAAACTGGTGCATTAGGATTTACAACTGCACCAAGTACTTCACATACGAGTGTTTTATTAATATTACCTAGAAAGTTACAAAAAAAAATAACTTAAAATTAAAAAGAAAAAATTCAATTCCAACGAACCCATTTGATGTGGAATAAATGTAACAAGAACTTGTAATTTTTCTCTCGGCTTTAATTTTCCACTTGCCGGTTGTATAGCGAAATTTGCAATTGATGGAAAACGAAAGTCAATTGATTTATGATCAGATTGATTATAAATATGCATAAATTGTTCATGTTTTTGTCCTATATATGTTACTGGATATTGTAATGCTTGTGGTTCAAGTGATAATATAACTGGTAATGCCGTACCAGCTACAGCTATTTCAAGTTTTGTTTTACTATGTTCAATATTTGAGAGACCAGGACTTGCACCTAATAACTCAAAATACATAAAAGCAGCTATGTCACGTCTTGGTGGTAAATCAAGTGTTGTAGCAAACGCTTGTTTTGGTGGATAGGTTCTATTGAATACAAAAAAAATTAAATCATTAAAGAATAGTGAAAAAACCAGTTGTAAGAGATGATCAAAAAGTTTTTAGATAAGATGTTTGTTCACTTTTGACTTGCTAGAAAGTATTTCGGACGACTTAAAAACTATAAGTTATAACCAGAATTTGAAGCTCTTTTTGTATATGCTCTTAGAAATATTGCATCTCTCTTTCTGTTCAAGAGCAATAAGAGACTATTTGAAAGATTTGAAAAAATTATTTTTACTGGTGAGCCAACAAGGTTTTTTTTTGCTCTATAAGTCTCTTTTCGAATATACTAAAAATTGTTGGAGTCTATTGTTTTGTAGAGCAGACACTGCTTTACAAAATGTGATATTGAACTAACGAGAGAACCTCTTTAGGTCTCCCCTTCTGATTTCAATGATTTTTGCCTATAGATACTACATAGTGTGCTAAGGAAAATCCTAAAAGAATTCCGGTTCCTATCGAACTTTGACTAAGGTATCGAATTTTTTTATCTGGAACTTCGTGTATAAAGAGAAGTCAAGTAAGCTAACTTTCACAAAAATATTCGAAGGTTTTAAACAAACTCTCTTCAAGATGTGAGACTTTCACGATATAGACCCTTTTCCATGGATAGCGTATATAAAATGTATTTCTTGAAAGCTTCATATTTCGAAAAGATTTCGTTTCAAACTTCTGAGTTTTTTTTATGCAAGTTAGTCCAGTTGAGTGTTCTCTATGTACAAGTTTTCAGATAATC